TAAAATATTTGGGCTCCTTACTTCGCCTATTTATATTCTATTAATAAAGGACAGAAGGATGAGTTTTGCAACTATGTTATAAGAAATAAATTTTCTTTCAGTTCAGGATTATGTTCAGTCCATGACTGATATTTATTTATAAAATATAAATGACAGTACCATCGCATCAGATCTATATTACAAGAAGCCAATCTGACTTTCATGTACGGCAAGCCATCACTAAAAGTTCCAAAATACAATTTTTATTAAAGGTTTAAAAAATTTAATAGACTGCCTACAGAAATTAAAAAAAAAAACAAAAATAGATGTGTTCAAAAGTAATCTCAAACAATACTTAATAAATAAATAGAACGGATATACTTTCTTGTGATAATGCTCTTTAAACCTGCCCCTTTTAAGTATTTTCCTTAATTTATTGTTATTTTACCACTCATTTGACCGGCATTTAATATAAATTATTTTTGTTTTGAGATAATGTACTTTATTTTAAAAAATTACTTGATGTTATATTAATACTACTTACTATGTTTAAATTATTAATAGTTTTACGACGATAGGTTGTAGCAACTTATAGCCACAATACTATTTTTGTGTTAAAGTAGATCCATAGAGAGCAATGTAATTTACGAAGGCCTTCTTTTAACATACAAATAAATGACAACTTTATAATTAAAATGGAAAACACAACAAAATACTTCGGCATTATAATTGATCAAAATTTGAAATGGGTTACGTCATTAAAATCCCAAGGTAAGAAGATTCATTTTTAAATTTTATAAATTGAGGAAATTTATGACTAGGAGTTTACTAATTATTATTTACAATTCGCTAGTTGAATATGTAATCCAAAATGGTATAATTAAATTTATCTACAAAAAAACCAGCAATATATCCTTCCTCTCTTTTATACAGGGTGTATCTAAATAACACCGAAAAAATTAAAGGGGTGATTCTGTGATGAAAATTAATGTGAGCGTTTGGTATAACATTTTTTGAAAAACCCTCCCCGGAAAAGTTACACCCCTTCGAAAATTAAAAAAAATAATGGTTTTTCGTTTTTATTTTCCCTGTATATCAAGCTAAAGACACGAAACTTGGTAGACATTATCTGTCAATAAAAGTACACTTTTGGAAATTTTTTCAACCCTGAAGTATGCTTAGAAGGGGTTGAAATAATCAACCCCTAAGATATTTTTTCTTACAACTTTTTTTTAGATGAACATTTTTTCTTTAAAAAAGTATGACTGAAAAGCCCAATTCATTGACTAACTTTTTTAACTCTACAAGTTTTTTCTAAAACTTAAGCATTTACGAGAAAAAAAATCTAATGCAATGCATTTTCAAAAAGATGGGCTAACGCGAGTATATTTTGCGTCTAGTCTAGTGGCCTGTGCTTTGCATAAAAACATTAATACTGATACCAGGATTGTGTAGTGTCTTTTTCTGTTACCCATCTTATTGTTTCACAAGTTTTATGATTGTGTATTGTAGGAAATATTAGTTGATTGAAAATATGAATGCATATTCGAATTTGGAAATGGCAGATATGCATTTTACATACGGTCGTGCTAACGGTAATTCATTGCTGAACGAGTAAAGACTTTATGCTGAACAGTAACCACAGCGTAGACTACTCCATCATACTACGTTCACAACTATTCACCGACGCTTGCGGGAACGTGGTAATTTTGAATAAAGAAGTTATGATTCTGGTCGTACTAGAGAAGCTCGAACTGCAGCTGTAGAAGAAGCCGTACTTAATTCAATTGAAGTATTCCCAGAAACTAGTAGCAGGAGAATAGCTCGTGTCCTACATGTAAGCCATTCCGTTGTTTAAAAGAACAAATATCGTATCCCTATCATCTTTAACGGGTGATTCGAGATTTTTTACCCAGTGTGATTTTTTGTTAGTGGCTTATTAATATGATTGGCCAAGTACCACAGTTCTTAGGTAATATTTTATTTACTGACGAGGCTAGTTTCTCAAGAGACTTTATTAGAAATTTTCACAACAATCACCTTTGGGCTGACGAAAATCCTCATGGCTTTTTTGAAGGAAATCATCAGTATCAATTTTCATTAAACGTGTGGCTCGGAATTATTGATAATCATTTAATTGGTCCCCATTTTCTTCCGCTACGATTAAATGGTGAAGCATATTGTCATTTCCTTGAAGAATTACCTGTTCTTCTTGAAGAGGTTCCCATTCAAATTAGGCAACATTTATGGTTTATGCACGATGGTGCACTAGCTCATTTTAGTATATGTGCAAGAACTCACCTGGATGAGGTGTATGCCAATCAATGGATAGGTCGAGGAGGACCTGTAAACTGGCCAGCCCGCTCCCTTGACCTTAATCCTTTGGATTTTTGCATATGGGGATATCTGAAATCTTTGATATACACAAACCCAGTTAAAAATATCGATGATCTGCGAAACCGCATTGTAGCAGGGTGTGAAACTATAAGAAATTCTCCAGGAATATTTCATCGTATACGCAATTCTATGAGGAAAAGGGTAGATGCTTGTATTGAAGCTGAAGGCGGTCATTTTCAACATTTATTTTAATTGTATTGTCGATATTCGACAGGTTTTTGTTCACTGTTTGTTCACTTTTGTTTTTAGTTGTAGAAGTCTTAAGAATCATAATTTGGTTGTCTGTTGTTTAATAAAATGCTATTTTACATTAGCTTATTTATTTTTTTCTCATAAATGCTTAAGTTTTCGAAAAAAACTTGTAGAGATAAAAAAGTTAGTCAATGAATTGGGCTTTTCAGTCATACTTTTTTAAAGAAAACATTTTCATCTAAAAAAAGTTGTAAGAAAAAATATCTTAGGGGTTGATTATTTCAACCCCTTCTAAGCATACTTTAGGGTTAAAAAAATTTCAAAAAGTGTACTTTTATTGACAGATAATGTTTACCATGTTTCGTGTCTTTAGCTTGATAAAAAGGGAAAATAAAAAAGAAAAACCATTATTTTTTTTAATTTTCGAAGGGGTGTAACTTTTCCGGGGAGGGTTTTTTAAAAAAATTTTATATCAAACACTCACATTAATTCTCATCACAGAATCACCCCTTTAATTTTTTCGGTGTTGTTTAGATAGGTATAATACAAAAGTGCTTTGTATAAGAACATTATATTATCTGTCTTGCTGTACCTTTATTTATGGAAGGCCTGAATTGAGATACACTACAAATTATTTGCAATAAATTTCAAACGAAGCTTACATTTTTAATTAATTTGATATTTAAGAGCCATTCACATATCACAGTTGACATCTTGATACTTAACAGGCACAGCCAAGCATTATTTTGATTTTGGCCAAATAAAATGGCCGATTAATTATTCTATGGGGTTGTGACAGAAAGCCAGTAAATTTGATGAAGGTGTTTTTGTGGCAAGGGGCGAAATAGTAGTACGCTTAAGTTAGCACCACCATAAAATAGTCAAATTTAAGAAACTGCTTATATATTTTTCATAAATTGGCAGGCTTGGCGACTAATTTCGATTAAAAATAGCCTCCAAAATGGCTATGGTTGCAAGTATAAAGGTCGCAACCTGCCTTAGAAATTTCACTTTTACTATCAACAGCTGTTGTTTGACAGGTCATTAGAGAATGTTTGCAATTTATGAAATGTTAAGAATGTTAGGAATGTTGACGTCAGAAATAATTGGAATTCCTTAAATTGTCACATAAGAAATGCATAGGCGGATTTTAAAAAAATTGATATTAAAGTTGTTAGGATAAACCAAAAATTCTGATACAAAAATAAGGATTATGTCTATTCTTTTAGTTTTCGTTGCCAAACACTCAAATGTTAATAAGAAACATACCAGGCAGCAGACTGACGACATTTTAACGACATTTTTTGGTAATTCTTGGTTATCGACGTCATGTTACCAAAAAATGAGGTGATTATGACATCACTTCTTTAACGTCTTTTTGACGTCACAAATTCGACGTCAACGTGGCGTCAATTTATTGTCACTATTAAATTAAGGTTTATATTAAACGTGATTTCAATACATTTTATTTATGTAAAATGATATGGCCTAAACAATTATTTTTTAAAACTCTTAAGTCTATTAACGTTTAAATCTGGCGCTTAAAATGCATAAAGATTGTATGATACCACGTGACACAGGACTGCGTCTGTCTGTGGTCATCGGTCTGTGTAGTATGGCTCGTGTGTGTTCGAGCCGTTCGAGCAAGCACGAGAACGGTATCGCGGATTGTTGCATCGGCCATGTGTAATGGTGTGTGCATCATGGATCGTGGCCCATATGCATTCAGGATTGTCGTTAAAAATTAAGAAAAAGTCAGTGAAAAAAGTTATATCAATAACAACCCAGCATGACGTATGTGACTTTTAGTATTTTTACATCTTTATTTTCCTTATTCTTTAATGATTTTATATCTATTACATTCATAGGCTGTTTCCTAAAATGTTCCCAGGTTCGTGAAATAGTAGGTATAAAATGGCGGCACTCATAGTCTTCATAATTGTGCCAAAGACAAAATAATAACGAACAAGTTGGCCACATTTGGAGCAGTTGGATTTGTGTAAATTAATGATTTTTGCCAATAACATTTCACTGTTTTTTCTTTTTAATTATAATTATTTCATTTTCTAATTTTGTTTTATTAAATGACCCACATTTCCTATAGAAAAGTTACAAAGGAGTAACAATATCAAATATAATGTCATGGTGACATCTCAAATAACGACAAAGGTGACATTAAAACAAACGATATAAAAACGTCATAAGGACGTTATAAAAACTACTAGGAAACGTCATAACGATGTCATATTTAGACGTGAAAAGGACGTCTCAATATGACGTCATTTGGGCTGTGACATATTCACGTCATTTTACCGTCATTATCACGTTAGTGATAAATGACGTCCTGTATGACGAAAATAAGATGTCATAATGACGTCAGTCTGCTGCCTGGGATATTACTTTGTTTATATTAAAAAATTAAAAAGAATTACCTTCTACTTTTAAATTTTTCTGTACTATTACAGCATCGTTATCTGGTTTTTCACTTCCCGTCAGATTCAATCTAGCGCCCACTAATTCTGGAAAAAAAGTAATTGATGGTCCACCATGCTTTTCTTGAAATTTTTTTAAAGCAGGTATCACGTTCTTGTAAAAATTAATTTCGTTACACATTAGCTGGAAAGTCGGACCAAATTCATTAATTATGCAACATTTTGCTACCAAATCCAATGTTTCCTTTGCTCCTGTTTCTTTATTTTTTAAAATTACGTGAATTTTTTTGATATCACTAAAATAATTCTCACCGGGTGCCAATAAATTTGAATAGTGTTTTTCTTCTATAGTTTTATGAGGTCCAATGTAATCTTGAATAAGTTCATTGAAATTGGTTATCTCCGCCATGATTATGAATAGTTAAAAATAACAATCTAACACACGAGCTGTGACACTATCACTGAATCAAAGCGAGTGTTATACATATTTTTTATTGTTTAACTGATATATAACAGATCCGTATTATGATAAAACGATGTTATCTGCATTTACGATCTAAAACTATTTAGTGGAGGAAATGAAATTTTGAATGTATTATATTTGTTTTTTATTGGTGATAATTAGATAATTCTATAACAGAATAAAAATATTTCGAACTGTCTTTTTTAGATTATTTAATTTTTTATTATAGATTTTATTCGTGGTATATTGTTTCTTTTTTTCTGCTATAATTTATTTATAATTATAGGCTCCGAGAAAGAATTATATGCTCCAATGTTCGTGAATTTTTCCAAGGGCAGCAATAATTATATATAAAAATTTAATAAAAACAAACAACTTGGGATCTACGACTTAAATGGAATTGAATGGAATATACCGGGTCAGATAGTTTATAGAAAGAGAAGCGTCAGATTTGGGCAAAGCACTAAGCACTAGGGTGGAGTGATACCATATTATTATAGAAAAAAATTAAGTGTACATTTTTAGTTGGCCCTGGGTGTGGAAAAGTTGTCTTTTAGTCTATCGAAAACACCTGTAAAAAAAAATTGAAAAATTGTAACGGCGTCAGGTTCCTTTTTTACACAGAAAAAAAGGCGTACTATATTCAAGATGTATGGTCTTATTTCAATGCTTTGTTGTATTTGCATATCCGCAAGTAAAATTCGTCTCGATTTGAAGTTTTAGTAATACTTGTTCAACAGTATCTGTATCTGTAACGTGTGGAGGGTAAGTTACCCCCACGGCACTTAGGCCTCATTATGCTCAATGTGCATCCTCCTAAGATGATAGGCACCTCCTAGCTCGTGAGCCAGCCTACAAATTTAATGTAGTTGACAACGTCGCTAAGAGGTGCTTCTCTTATATCGGCCGGTGTTAGCCGATACTCGCCGAACACAAATCTTCTAAAAATTAGAGCGTCGGGCAATCGTAAAGGATAGGCTCGATGGTCTCATCTTCTTGTTCGCACCCTCGGCAGAGTGCGGATTCTGACAGCCCCATGATATGGACATGCTTCCGTACTTGGCAATGACCAGTCAGAATGCCTGTGACCAGACGCAGATTCTGTCTAGTCATAGTCAAGTATTTGTTTACTGCAGTGTTGTCAGGATAACTTAAGAGCTCCTTGGCAACTCTGCAGTTTCTTGTTTCATCCCATCTTTCCTTGAATTTCACAAGGGAATGTTCTTTAATTAGGTCTGTCACTACCGATTTTGTCAAGCCAATAAAAGGGCCAGGTCCAAAAAGTATTTGGTTGGCTGTTTTCTTGTCTATTGAATCGGCAAGACCTGTCGATGTGGCGTGACCTTTAATCAATCTTAAGGTAACCACATTATTGATGGATACTTCGGCCAAAGCTTCATGACATTCTAGTACTAACCCTAAATAAATTAATGGTCTGTTCAGTGTGAGTAGTGCTTGTCTGCTATCTGTATAGATGGGCATGTTCCTTCCAGTGATATTATTTCTGGTTATTTCTTTTGCTGCTAGGAGAATCCCCGTTAGAGCTGTTTGATCTACACTGGCACTATTGCTCACAGCCCATTTTATGTTTAGGTTTAAGAATTTGGAGTATATTCCGCATCCTGAGCCTTGTTTTGTTTTAGAACCGTCGGTGTAGATATGAATCGTATCTGCCACTTCTGGCTTTTCTATTTGTTTTATTATAACTTTATATGGCTTATGGAAGATATATCTCGGTGTGATGGAGTCCATGTTCGCTTGAAGCAGTGGGAGCGTATCGAACGCCTCCTGACAAAAGCCACGTCTTGCATCACCAGATCCTACATCAGGTTCTATTCCAACCATGTGCAGGCATGTCATTGTCGTCAGAGTAACCTCTTTAATGTAAATATCAAGGGGAGTAAGACTAAGAATGACTTCCATGACTCTGGTTGGTGTTGCTTTTATGGCTCCTGTTGAGGCATGCTGTTCTTCGAATTTGTTCTAGTTTACGGATAGCTGTTAATTTTTGGGTTTTTGGTACCCAGACAACTGCACCGTATGTTAACATAGGTCTTATGATAGCCGTGTAAGTCCATGCAACGACTCTGGGAGATAAACCCCAGGTGCACCCTACGGTTCAGCAGCATTGTTCATAAGCAATGCCATGCTCTTTTGACTCTTATTTTCTAAATGTGAGTTCCATGTTAACTTGCTGTCAAAGGTTTTATTATAAATGGAAATGAAACAATTGTTTATACAGTGTGTTAAAAAACAGGAATTAATAATAATGTTTATTTACAAAAAAAAACCAAAATGCACATAGACCTAGGTACTTCACCTCTGTCGCAAAGTTTAGTTTTGTGTTTAGGAGTTCTGGAGGTTTATTTCCATTTTCATCCTTTTCCTTGAGAAAAGGACCATTTATGCCTTCTTAGGATTAATAGAAAGTGAATGGTCCTTGCACCACTATAATTTTTAGAGCTACTTGCATTTTTTTGTAGAGTATGTTCCAAAAATTCCCTGTTTGCAGAATGACCAGGTCATCTGTATATGCGATTGTGTAATGACCGTCATTATTGAGGCGGCTGATGAGGGTGTCGAGGACCATATTCCACAGTAGAGGTGATAGCACCCCTCCCTGTGGACATCCCCTCGCAACCAAGCCTCTTATTGTAGACAATGAAAAAATTAGATGGGCAATATCCAGTTTCTCTCCATTTAAATCACCAGGACCTGACGGTATCTATCCAGCCCTACTTCAGTGGGGTCTGGAAGAACTCACACCGCACCTGGTGGGTATATTCAGATCCTCGTTGGCTTTGAGGTATATCCCCAAAAAATGGAGAGAGGTAAAAGTGGTATTTATACTCAAACCTGGAAGGATGGAATACACTGTCCCAAAAACATACCGACCAATTAGTCTGACATCGTTTTCCATAAAGACATTGGAAAGACTATGCGAAAGGTACATAAGGGATGCGGTGATTACAACAACACCACTACACCCAAACCAACATGCATACACCCCAGGCAGATCTACTGATTCAACCCTTCATCTAGTTGCTGGCCGGATAAAAAGATCCCTGGACAATAAGGAGTCCGCCTTGGGTGTTTTCATAGACATAGAAGGTGCTTTTGATAAAACCATCTTCCCAAAGATAATACTCACTAAACAACAGGAATGTTCCACAAATGGTTAGTGGGTGGATACATAATATGCTCTCAAAGCGAGCAGTAAACATAAGTGTAGAAGATGTGATTGGCAGTTTGCCAATCATAGACAGATGGATTGTATTCTTTCTCTGTCCAGTCGGCTACGTCTGTGATGACCGAGTCAGGGAAGTGTGTTGACAGCAGAAGTTTGATGCTATCTTCGAGGTTGGCAGTTTTTGTGCCATCCTCTTTGATTAGCGCACCAATGCTTCGGTGTGGATCTTTTGAGAGAGCTTTTTGAAGCCTCACTGCCTGCGGGAAATCTTCGATTTCTTCGCAGTAGGATCTCCATGCATCTCTCTGTTTTTTCTGACGATTTTTTTGTATTCTCTGAGGTGAGATTTGTAAGTATCCCAGTCCTCTTTGAGTTTTGTGGTTCTTGTCTTATTAAAGGATTTCCTAGCTATCTTCCTGAGGTGATCCAACTCGTGACACCACCATGCGGTAGTCGTCTGATCGTGTTGGACCAGCCTCAGGGGACAGAATTTCTTATTGTGCTTTGGATAGTGTTTGAGTACTTCTCCAAAGCATTGTTATTGTTTGGTGTTTCGGCCTTCATCTCTCTCAAAGACTCTTGGAGAAGGTGGGCATAGATTGCGCTGTCCGTCTTCCTAGGGTTCCGAGATAGCGTGGAGGTCGGCAACATTAAGTTTATTTTAAATGTTAACCAGCGTTGGTCTGACATCGAAATGTTATCAGACACTTGCCAGTTTAGAACTGATTTATAGATACCAGTTGTTTGATTGCACTTTTAATAACCCAAAAAAAACTGCTTTATGGTTTTTATACGAATTTAATGTAATAGAAAAAATACAAAACTAACACACTGAACCTTTTGCCGGTCCACGTTGCACCCTTCGCTCCAATTTTTATACAATCTTAAGTACCCTATGCCTTTTAGAACAAGGCGCAAAGAATATGCCATATGAGTGCGGCGTTGTCGGTTTTAAAATAAAGTCTAAAACAATAAGACTTAACATGCAGCCCCCTTGAATGCTTGTCATTCAATAAAAAATATTACAAATAACCCAATACAAATACAAAATAATCACAAAAAAAACAGTGGACTGTATATATATATATAAAAAAAAACACAAATGTAAAGTCAAGTTTCTCGAATATTACTCGATTTCTATGGGTATTATACACAATTTCGCTATTGCTCTTTTTAACACTCCCGTAGAAGTTTTCACTGTCACAACGCGACATTGTCCATCGCTCCCGGTGTGAATGTCAATAACCCTTCCCAGTAACCATTTTAACGGAGGCAAGTCATCGTCCTTCAACAGTACCAAAGCACCTACTTGCACGTTGTCCTCAGGTATCCTCCATTTATTTCTTTGTTGCAGCGTGGTAATATACTCCTTGGACCACCTACTCCAAAATCCTTGAATCATCTGAGTCAATAACTGATACCGTTTCAGTCTGTTTTGTTTAACATTCAACAGATCTTCATGTGGAAGAGCAGTCAATGCAGATCCCACCAAAAAGTGTCCAGGTGTCAAAACATTTAGGTCTGAAGGGTCTTCGGATAAAGGAATCAATGGACGGGAGTTCATACAAGACTCTATCTGAGTTGCAACCGTATATAATTCCTCAAAGGAAAGTATTTGCTCTCCCACCACCCTCCTTATATGAAACTTAGCGGATTTTATCGCCGACTCCCACAATCCACCAAAATGCGGTGACCTTGGTGGTATGAAATGCCATCGGATGAACATTTTCGAAAAGAAATCCGTAAGCTTATTTTGTCTGTCATCATTTCGAAAAAATGCTAATAATTTTTGTATTTCGTT